GTTTTGCCTAGAAAAACTTCAGGCAAAACTCCAATTTAAGTTTTGCCCAGTCAAAACTCCAATTTGAGTTTTGCCTAGGCAAATTTAAAATTTGCCTGAATTTGAGTTTTGCCTACAACATATACACTTGAAGTGACACTTAGTTATTTTTAAGTGTTAGTTTATTTCATTGATTTTGAAGTTATTTGGAGTCAAATAGCTATTGTTGGGTAGAATACAACATTTGCACAAATGTGATTTTTATATCGAAAAAATAAAACTACCGAGAATACGATACAAACGTCTATAAGTACTTGTTTTTGAACCAAGAGACCAAGGCCAAAAGAATAGGATTCACATTATACATAACAACGAAATAAATCACATATGGCGATGATATGACCTTCAGCCTTGATCGTCAGCCATTAAATAACGGAACATATGCCTGATAATGTCCCGAAATTGACAGAAATTTAGTTCACTGAATAGTCGTTCATAGTGGGTGGATAAACTTGTGCAAAGTGAATAAACTTTATAATTTCTACACTCATGATAATATTTGATAGAATTTCTGAGAAAATTTGTTCGAAATTGTGAGACATTTAACGATTCTAATAATTGCTAATCTTTTTTGGTATGTAAGCCTCGCTTCATTCTTTCTTTTATAAAACATAATGTCAACAACATTTATTATTCATTCAGCACATAAATTGCCAAAAATTTCGCTTTATAGCAGATTATTTTTCCTTTTCGTCAATAGTAGCCTATGCGTAAATAATTCTTTCTTATAACAGAATACAAAAATTTCTATATATACATATTAAGTTATTTTCTTACCTACGGCTATAAATATCGTTTTAAAACCACACGTATTCTTTGTGACTCAACATTACTTCAATCAATTTAGAAACGACTGTCCTCAGAAGAAGGAATAACGCTAACGCGACTAGAGTAAATCTTCGGTTTAATCATCAAAACAGTGGATTAACAAAAGTTCTGTATACTTAGACCAAAATCGACATATGAATACCTTAAAAAATCTTCTGATGTGACAACAGACTCACAAAAGACCTATGATCTCGTAAGATATACAAAAGAAAAGACACAATAAGTATTATCGATTTTGAACAAAACTAGTAATTATATTAATTTAATTACTTTTCTTCGTAATTTTTATTTTATTCTAAATGTTTCGAGACACTAATGAACCTTCTTCAGTAGCACAACAACAACGAAGAAAATGGAAGAATCGAAAATATTACGAGAGGTAATGAGACCATCGAAAAACTTTTTTTAAAGAGGAAAATACTCGACCAAATTACACTTTATATCGTGGCGGCCAAAATTGAGCGTCTACCTTTATTTTTAATTTTTCTTCTCGACTAAAATAGCTAGAACAAATCTAAAAAAAGATTTGAACAACTGAAAGAGTTTATAATCAGATGAGGTGTATATGAAAATTCCATTATAATTCCTGCAAAGCATGTCCCTGAAAAATCAAGATTTTAGAAAACCCAAAAAAATTCTAAAGAAACTTTTGTAAATCATTCGTGTAGAGCAAAACATTTCTGAATAAAACTAGATGTCGCCAAACTCTCCACGACATTTTTAATCAAACTGCATTCAATTTGGAAAGGTTCCTCCACGTTAAAATCAGCAAAAATGACAGTGACAACGACCTAGGGACCTTTCGTAAATTGAATGTAGTTTGATGAGAAAACATCGTGGAGAGTTCGGCGATGTCTAGTTTTGTTCAACATTTTATAAACTAATACTTCGTTCGCTCTGAAACTGATTCATACTATCAGGGTATCACTTCGTCACTTCAAGCGACTCTTCGGTCAAAGGTGCACACACTTGAACTGAGATTTTCCGCCCTTGTGTTTTGCAAGGTTAACGATTGTTGATAACAAAACTTAAGTTAGATCTAACTAACCTCGATAGCATTCTTTGTTAGTAGTCATTGTTTGAACGTACATAGTTACGTTGTTCATTCTGCTGCTTAGTTCTACCAACCATTATCATCCTCTCTTTAACTCTCACTAGAATTCTCTCTCGTGTTGGTAGATGATAGCGTTTTCAGAATACAAATACAAAGGAACCCGCCATGGGTATTAGAGAAACATTAAGCAGATACTAATAAATGTCCCGTTTTTAGCTCAGTCCAAAGAACAAAATTAAAAGATCGTGACTAAAATCACAGTGTTTATAAAGGTAATAACTGTACTAGCATATTGTAATGGCCCAACTGAAAGTTCAGTTACTTTTTAAATTGCACCATAATCGCAAATATATGCTCGACATTTAATTGCGACGCATGATTTTGCTTGTGGGTGACCCTGTTTCGAAACAGCAATACATTCTGCATATGGGACTCGAAGATAGTTCAGAAACAGTGGTGTACCATCTGTAAAGTAAGGCAAACCGGGCTCTTTATCCAAATAATAAAACCATCCCGGTTGTATATCAGATTCAATAAAACAGTTAAGCTCTTGTCGATCATGAAATATTGGAAATCTTGGCATTCTATGGGTAAGTAGCTTCATACCGACATCGTTCGCCCGAGGACACACCGATCGATCAAAATTACCTTGTACTACATGTACAGTATAAACACATCGATCTTCTGTTGGATAATTTATAACGTACCACGTTTTAAAAAAGTTTTCAGATGAGGTGTCATTCGTACATTTATCTATCTGTTTTGAATAATGATTGTTACATGGATAACATAGACCGGATTGTTTCGAATAAAAGTCACCCGTTAAACATCCACAATATTGTTGAGTAGTATATAAACCGGGAATAGTAACACAATACAGTGTTGTTATACAATGATCATGTGTTTCACATAATGCACGGAAACCTTTCCGGACTAAACAACCATTGTCCCAGTAATGCGTGGTCAAATTACAGTTAGCATTGTGAAGCGTAGAATGATATGGCAAACTTTTAGATATGGCAAGCGGAATGGAAACAGCTGCAGTAATAAGCAATATACTCACGAAACAAACAATAACTTTTTTTTTCTTGATAAGAGTGAAAAGTTTTGATTGCCTATGATCAGCCGATGCCAATAATACTCTTTGTTGCACATCAGAAGCAGTCCCTTGAGTACTTATTGATGAAAAATGACTTTGTAGCGGCTCAAAGCTTGAGGTTGATTCACGCTCTAAATTCATTCAGATAACAATTTCTCTATAGTAAATATATTATGCCTATTAGATGAACTTACTAGGTCCGATGATGGTTTTTAACTTCTGATCATTCATTTGTCAGAAATGCTTTTCTCGAAGATGTAACTGATACATAATAAATATATACGTACAGCATTTAAAGAATATTTATACCTCTTGATATTCTGTTTAATGAGGCAAAACAACATTTGTTTTTTTTTGTTACACAAAAAAAATACTCATTTAGCCCTAAGCCATCTGAAAGAAAGCTTTTATATAGAAACAAATATGAGTCAAACCGGGAAAAATCCAAGTGTAATATTAGTCAAGTTGTAACCTTTTAAAAAACACAAGATCAATAACACATCTGTATATTTCAACTCACAATCAAGCATCGTTAAAGAACTAAATATATATTCAACAACGTCACTCTGCGATCTTAGTATAAACAGAAAGCAAATGCACGACTGATACTTTTTGTATCAATTATTCATTGCGGAACTATGATTAATGTTATTCATTTTCTTCTTTAATTGGCTTACAGCAAAATGTTTCATTTTTTTTGTAACGAAAAAGAACGTTGCGTGTCAATACGAAGCTATTGCCACTTCCAATAGAAAGTGTCAATAAGGAGCTATTGCCACTTCCAGTATAAAGTGTCAGTTATAAGCTATTGTTGTTTTGTTGTTGGAGGTTATTATGGTAGGTCTAGAGTTATACACTTAGCGCAGTAGTCCACTATATGTTTTTATACATAGGTTTTTTCACGTTTTTTGTCCTTTCTCGTTTGAGGTCGTAATATAGTTTATAGTCAATAATCTACTTCTTTCTCTCCTTATCTATATTTGTTATCGTCGACCAATGCTTATCTCTGGTTATCTTTTATCTTATTCTAGGCCTTCTTTTTTCTTTATTTGATTCACGTCGGTCGTCTCTTTCTATGATTTGTTTTCGATATACTATATATTCGAGCGTGCAGTCATTTTTTTTATTCAGAGAAGTTAATAGTAGTCAGAAAGTAGTTGTGATTATTATTGTATCTTAGGTTGTATTCTTTATCTCTTCTTCCTCTTTGTATACTCTTCTTTTCCTGGTGTTTTTTATTATTATTTTCTAAAATATATTCACTATCAGGTGGCATCATTCTTACAGAAGAGGTGAGTATATTGCGTCTTCTCGTCTTTCCTTGGAAGCAGGAAGAGTTTAACATTAGAAGTCAGTGGTCCGAGAGGAAAAGTTAGTATAGTACTTACTTTTCGTTTAACATGTAATTTCTGATACAAACGAAGACCAATAAGTTTTTACCAATAAGACTTTATTAACAATAAATGATAGATTTCAGACATTCAAATTCTAGCTACAGCATAAAAGATGCTCCATAGATTATTGACAAACTTACAGACGAAATCTATATACGAAAATAAAACGCCTTATGAAGTTAGGTAAGTTAGGACAAAAAGACATCTATTACAAATCTCATTACACTATCTCTAGTCATACCTCAAAAAAGAGATCGATTTTGAAGTTTAAACCTATCACTTATCACTAATATTTGTCTACAAGACTACGGATGGCTTCGACTTTTTTTCGGATTTTGTAAAGGTATGTCTATCAGCCACAATTTCGGCCAGGGATCCTTAATGGCACATGATAATAGATCAAACATCATCATGATCATCGTCGCTTTGTTTATTTTGTCTTAAGACTAATGGAACTTTAGGACAGCAGAATTGAAAAGTAGCATTGTCGATAGATATTGCTCACCGCTCAGTATTCTTCCACATTTCTGAATAAACTCGGGATACTTTGAGTTGACAATACAAAACGACGTTACTTGTCGAACAATATTATAATATTGTACAATTGACTTAAATCGCAACAGTGACATTAATATTATTAATGCTTCGACAATATGTGGAATTTTGGATCTCTCGTGAAATTTGTGTTTAACGGTTCTATAAAAACTTTCTATTCTGTTCTTTGTGTTATTCATATATGTCAAATTTTGTTTACGTTTATAGAAAACCCAGAGATCGGTACATGATAGCTAGTTCTCACGGAAATACGGCCAATACTCGGTCATCGACGAAGTAGTTTCTAGCATATAAACACTGATGGCGAATACAGTTACATTATCCGAATAAATAATATTTTTCGATAATTTAAGAATTTTCCGGTTAGTTTCAATACTGATAACTCATTTAGTGATATTTTCTTTGAGTTTTTTGATCGCATGAAAATAATAAAGTAGTGCAGTTGATGAGGGGAAAACTTCTTGTATCATCAAAATCTTTATCAATAAAAAATGTCTGGATAATATCATGATTATCATATGTTTTTTTAAATTTTAAGAGCAATTCTCGTATGTTTTCATGCGGTTCATTCGCCAAAAAGCCAATACCAGCTGGCTAACCTACGAAAAATAAAGAAACAGAAAGACGTGTTAACGCAAGTGGTGTCAGTAGAGTAGAGATGTTATCGGATGCTGCAACTATGGAGCTTCTTTTACTCTTTAGAGATTTTTAAAACAAAAGTATTGTTACCAAGTACTGCGCTTTTTTCGGAAGATTCTTGCCTTTTTTGTTTAATATTAGCGTCTCTATTGCTAAGCAAAGTTTGGTGTAATAGTGGCTCAAGCTCATCTCATTAATATAAATATGATGAAAATTTGACTCTTAGACATTTGAAAAACGACAAAAATTTCTTTTTAGCCGCAGTTTTGAACTGAGAATAAGGTGTGTTATTTTAGTCGAATCTGAAATTTATCGTTTAGTGACTTTTCTCAATTATTTAGTTGATGTCTTCTTCGCATAAAAAGGACTAACCGGTTCGACGACTGTCTTGAATTAGAAAAACATTTAAACAAAAATTTTCTAAATTTAGCTTGTAAGTTGCATCGAATAAAACCATTTGTCCGTATTTTTGAAAGTGGTCTTTCATTGAACTTGAAGCAATAAAAATCATTTCGAGAGCATTTGTCTGTTATAATATGTTGACTTCAAGTGTCGCCGTTGGATCTGCTAGTTTTATTTCATTCAATAAATCATGAACTGCTGTATTTTGTGATGGACTATTGTTCAATGTCGTCTTGTTTAAAACGTTCGCAATATCTTTAACGGTGTTACATTTCATATTTTTTTTGTCCATAATAAGATTTCTAATAATACTTCTCGGTACTTTATGCTGATCATAATTTTTAATTAATTCAATAGCTGAATCATCTAGTCGTCTATTACGAGCATAAAATTTCATATTAGCTTGAACGACTTTGTGATTATGTTTCAAATCAATTATCGTGATTTTTAACTGTTCGCCAGTGTTACACAAACGAATTTTAGCCTGGCAGTTGAGAGCCATGTGATGCTGTTGAGGACGAATGCTAGCGGTACGCGAACGAATTTTACCACCGTGACAGCATTGAAAATCAATTCTTTATAAACTAAATTAGATGCTTCTTTGAGCTTCACCAAATCTTTTGTTCTGAACATAGAGCCTGTTTCTTTTGAGTAATCGTCTAATTTTTGTTTAAAATCCATAAACGTTTTAAAAACATCATCAAGTTTAAATGAACAACCATCCTGAACACCATTAGCTGCAACATCCTGTAATTCAAATAATAAAAACGAACAATAACGAAATCAATAGATCCCGTGCGTCATTAGCCAGGATTTTAGCTAAGCGTCGATAGCGCCATCAATCAAACGTAATCAACTGTCTGAAAGTACTCTAACCGACTCAAAGGCTTTGCATCTAGCCTGAAAAAAATCACAGATCACTTCAAATATTCCCCTGTACCTGTCCACATACTGCGTAAAAAGTACATTACCCTGTATAACTACATACACTGGGGTTTTTTCAAAAAAAAGTTAAAAGAATAATAGTTTCATGACGTACACTGCTAGTTAAACTAACCGTGTGCACTGTGAAACAATTTTTTTTTACTTTTGTGTGCGTCAAAGAAACTGTATAGGTAAATGATCACTGAAAATAAACAAACAGAGTAATTTTATTTTCCTGTGACGCAAAAAGAGTGAATAAAATAGTTGATAGCATCTCCTTGTATAATAAACTGTATTGATGGTATATCAATAAGGTTTATGATAAAGTCAAATACTTGTAAGCCGGAAGATCTAAGAAATGATCCTGTTACTCTTGTACGGGAATTTTCAAATGTACATACATCAGAATTATGTAATAGAAATAGATCAATCTATCATATAGTCAATGTCAGCTATTGCAAAAGTTAAAACATTTGAAACGACATTATTGTGCACCTAGACAAAACTGAAGGATCTAAGTAATACGCATTTTCAAATTATTTAACATTTTCATAGACTATTTCATGACCTTATACATACATAATAATCTAATAATCTAAGAAAAATATTTTCTATGAATAAGTAAATATAAATATTTAAATGTGCTCATCGGATTATCTATTCAAAATTTTTCACACCTTCGTTTTTCGTAACAACAAACGCAGCACGTTCTGCATAACTAGTATGAATTGTGTAATCGTTTTTCGTCGAGTACGATATTACAACTGCTAAATAATTCGTCTAATTTATCGTCACTGGATATAAATTTCAATGTTCTTCTGTATTATCTAAAAAATGACAAATTATGACTACTGTTTCGACTATAAATTAGAAAATGTATGTCTCTGTCACGTGGTTATTTAACTAGGAATCAAACAACACATTTTCTCAATGTCTTCACTTCACCCTTTCTTTTAAGCACGTTGTCATACATCAAAGTGAGGTAAAATATATGTTCTACTTTTGCTGACTATCGTCTTTCTTTTCATACATCATAAATTAGCGTTAAAGGTGATTTTCTTGCACAAAAAACGATTTCACCAAAACCTCTCGTGGAAACGAGGAAATTTGACTATTTCGTCTTAGCGCAGCCAACGTATAACCTTAGCACTCTTCATATGTTGTTCAAGGGTTTGCCAACCATTATTTCTGCAAGCTAAATCTCTACTTTGACATAATGTACATTTAAATGTGTATCATTGCCACCTTATTTACACCGGTTTTTGTATGTGATTTCCATCTGCATTCAATCTTCCAAAGGCATTATTTTAAGCGCATTATTTGCTGAGACATTATTTTGTCACCCAGGTATCTTGTCTTCGATCTAAAACAAGAGAGAGAGAAATAGAAATGACGATGCTCGCTCGTCCGAAAATCGATGTATATATGTCATGTCGAAGCTACCCTCTGTAATAAAATAGAATGGGCGTGAGTATTTTTGAAATATATTTGAACAAAAGAAGCTGGAGAGGTCGATTTTCCGCCATTGAAAAGAGACTGTAAATCTTCTTTTTATAAGAGACAGTAATTTAAAAATCTCTTTTGAAAGGAGACTTTCTAGGAGATCTTTGACAAACCAGTTGAGAGCTCAAAAACTGTAAATGAAAATATCTTCGTTTTCTATTATGAGTAGATAGCCGAGAGGGTCCTCTTTAAAAGAGGAATCAAGCTAGACCCTGATATCTGCTTCTGTAGTATATGTTCTAGACTGTGTGAAAAAAAACTTTTATTATTCAAAAGCGAATTCGGCAGAATTCCAGCTACTATCGAAAAAGAAGTAGAAGGCGGATGGGAAGAATGCTTATAACTTTTTAATCATGATAGCTGGAGAGTTTGGGTTTTCGACATTCGACAAACCTAGGAAACAAGCAGAGTTTTCCCAAATGTTTTCCATAGGAAAATTAGCCTATCAAAGTTAGGAAAACTAGGGGGTTTTCCGAAATTTTTTTAGATTTTATTAGAACATCAATTAATTCGTCTTTTTCTTAACACATATATTGACTTATTAATAAAATGGAGTGAAAATATTAATAATAATAATGATGCCGTCTTAGATAACGACGAAGAGTTTTTATTTCGAGAGATAAGTGTTAGATTTGTTTTGTTAATAGGTGAACTAAATAAATTAAACTTTTATATATTTAAAAAATTATTTATTGATAAAAGATTAATTGACTTGATTCAACAATGTCTCAATAATATAGCTACAAATGAAAAATATTTAAATGATGCTAACTTAGAGAGTCTTAGTTATATTATTCGCATACTAAATGACATTATTCATTATGAGGATGATGTTCAAGATGATCCGATATTATTACCCATAATCGGTTCAATTATTAAATGTTTATGCTCTAAATATTATTTAGAAACATTTAAACAATTGTTGCCTTCATCAACATCAACAAATGAATTAAGTGTTAAACAAAATTTTTATTAATAGCTTGTGCATCATATTTAGTAATTATATTGGTAAACGCAGAGAAGAAATTGCAGTAAAAGTTTGTGAAATAATGTTGCCCAGTTATGTTGACATATTTGAACTATTTGTATCGATAATTGAGCAATGGAATAAACCAGTTGTAGATTGTTTGAGCGAACTCTCCACAATTTTAATAAGAATTGTATATTTTGCTTCATTATTAGGTTGAGGAAAAAGTTCGTGCGCCGTGTTAAAATAATGATTTTTTATATATTTTTTTTTGTGTTTTTGATCTGGTTTTGTGGCTATTATGAAAATTTATTGATTTTTTAAGATGTCTGATT